GAGTTGGAGGTTGCTGTGAGCTGTGATGCCACAGCACTCTACCCAGGGAGATAGCTTGAGGCTCTGTCTCAAAAAAAACCCAACCAAACAACAACAAAAAAATCACCTGCGTCCTTGGCTGACAAGCCCTTGCCAGGCACCCTATGTGCCCAAACATCCTGGGGTAAACCTGGCAGGCACGTAGCACAGGGCCAGCCACCCTCTTGGACACTCCCCTGGGCTGACACACTGTGGCTCTTCCTGCTGAGTCTGACACTGAATACCAAATCCTTCTTGACACAATGTTCCAGAAACCTCTATCAGCTCATCAGAACTGACAGATGAGATAAAATCTTTTTTATAAATGTATTTTATTGTGGTAAGACCATGTAACACGAGATGTACGCTCTTCACAAGGTTTTAAGTGTAAAATACATGCTCACAGACTATAGGTACAAGGTTGTACAGCAGACCTCTAGAACTTACTCTTCTTGATTAGAGAGAAAATCTCATAAATAAAGACTTGGGAGATTGTCAGTAATGGGGACAACTGACATACGCCATATGAATGAAACTGGCTCAAAAGTTCATTTAGGCTAACAGATGAAGGTGCAGAGTGGTGGACAGGGCTGTAAGTTGAAAGGGAACTCACTGGGATTATAGACACTTCCACACTGGTGCAGGACAGTAACGTAGCCACTACGCACAGGAGGCTACTGAGCCCTTGAAATGGGAGAAACTGAACTTGAAAACAAATTTAATTCTGATTAATTTATTTAAAAATTTAAAGGGCCACATGTTTTCTTTTAGCCAGAAACACCATGTAATAACTTGCCAAAGTGACCAACACAAAAGAAGAGAGGCACCTGCTGTATGTTTTCTGGGCCATTTTAGGAAGCACAGGGTTGTTCCTTTGGCCACTTACATATCCATCTGCAAGCAAAGGTGATATTGTAGACATCAGGAAATGGGTACTGTTCAAAAAGGGGTGCCCCACAATGTCACTGAGGCAAAGCTGATAGGGTCTCCGGTGTGACCCAGCGTGCTGTTGGCATTGCTGGAAACAAATACACTAAAGGGCAAGAGTCTTTTTTTTTTTTTTTTTTTTGAGACAGAGTCTTAATGTGTCACCCTTGGTAGTGTGTCCTGGAGTCACAGCTCACAGCAACCTCAAACTCTTGGGCTTAAGTGATTCTCTTGCCTCAGCCTCCCAAGTAGCTAGGACTACAGGTGCCCACCACACGCCTGGCTATTTTGTTGTTCTTGTTGTTGTTGTTTAGCAGGCCCTGGCTGGGTTCAAACCCACCAGCCTTGGTGCATGTGGCCAGTATAGTAACCACTGTGCTACAGGCACTGAGCTGAAGGGCAAGAGTCTTGCTAAGAGAATAAATGTATATAGAGAGCACATGAAGAGCCAAGATAGTTTCCTGAAATGCATGGTGGAAAATGATTATGAAAAAGAAGAGGGCTGAAGAGGTATCTGGGTTCAGCTGCCACCCCAGCCGGAACACACACTGTGTGAGATCCCATGGGCAGGGCCTGTGCAGCCAGAACCTGTGCACTGGGCTTTATGGCATAATCGCTGTTAAAAAAAAAAAAAAAAATTCAAGGCCTTTTGTTTTTTTAAAAAAAAAAAAAAAGCCACATGTAACTAACAGCTATTTAAGTATCAGTGCAGCAATTCTCAGATTCTACTTTATGTTAGAACCATCTGCTGGGTGTGGGGGTGGGCGCAGCAGCTCACACCTTTAATCCTTCCACTCTGGGAAGTGGAAGCAAGTGGACTGCTTGAGTTCAGGAGTTCAAGACCAGCCTGAGCAAGAGAGAGACCCCATTTCTAAAAAATAGCCAGGTACTGTGGCAGGTCCCTGTAGTCCCAGAGGCTGAGACAAGAGAATCACTTAAACCCTAGAGTTTGAAGTTGCTGTGAGCTAAGATGCTATGGCGTTCTACTGAGGGCAACAAAGTGAGACTCTGCCTCAAAAAATAATAATAATCTGCAAGACACATTAAAAGATTATGGAGGCTGTGCTTAGAGTTTCTGATTCAGCTAATTAGGGTGGGGCCTGGGAATTTATATTGGTTATATTTCTAAGTTCCTTAGTGATACTGATGCTGCTGGTCTGGGAACACTTTGAGAACCACTGATCTGGACCGTATTCTGACTGCAAACAGCTGTGGGATATTGGACACTCACTTCATGGCTCAGGCATTGGTTTTCCTGTCTTAAAGTCAATGGCAGCCTGGGCTTTGGAGAAGCAGATGTGGATTCTGCCTCTGCTCCTTCTTTAACCAGCTGTATGACCTGGAATCATTGTTTCTCTTCTCTTTGCTCCATTTGCAAAATGGAAATAACATCACATACCAAATAGGACAATTACAAGGATTATATGTGATGAGGTATATATGACGTCTAGTTTGTTTTTTAAAGGTCATTTCCTGCTCATACTGTCTGTTAAATGAGAAATAAGCAGTTTTACAACATAATTCTGTTAGGATTCCCCAGTGCCTGTGTATGACAAAGTGCCCACATTTGAGTGACTTAAAACCGCAAATTATTTATTGTCTCTTAGTTTCTCTGGGTCAGAAATGTGGTCAAGGCTGAGCTGGATGCCTGAAGCTGCAGCTGGGGCTGCAGTCTCATCAGAAGGCTCAGTAGGGGTTGGTGGATCTACTTTAGTGACTGATTATTTCACTAAATCTAACGTCCTCAAGGTTCATCCATGTTTCAGCACAGGTCAGAATTTCATTCCTTTTTAAGACTGAATGACATTCTGTTGTATGTGTGAATCCCACATGTTTATCCAATCATCAGTTGATGGACCTTTTGGCTACTGGGAATAATGGTGCTAATGATCACAGGTGCACATAAATCTGTTTGAATCCTGGCTTTCTCTTTCTTTGGGTGGGTTCCCATTATGTGACTATTAGAAAGTGTTCATTCATTTAGGGCTATCAGACTGAGGGCACCAGTCACTTACTATACCACATGACTCTCTCAATAGGTTGCTTCCACCAGCATTAGTGGAGAGAAGAAAGAGAATAAAAAAGATAAGAAAAGATGCTGCAGTTGTTTTATAACCCACTTTCAGAAGTGACAAGCCATCATTTCCACCATTCTCTTCCTGGGAAGCAAATCCAGCACACACTCACGGGAAGGGATCCCATGAGGAGGTGAGTGCTAGGAGGTGGGGATCTCTGAGAGACATTTCACGGGCTGCCTAATGCAGCCAGCATCTGGATCTAGAAGTCAGCTGGGTCTGCCGTGCAGGTATCTAAATAAAAAGATACCTGTAAAAGTTTGAGTTTACATGAATGACAAAGTAACTTGTTGAGATGAGCTGAACCAATAACCTAGAATGAAAAATATAGATGTCAAAAAAAAAGTATACACATTTTAAGAAAGGAAAGAAAAAACCATATTCAATTTTGAATACTCAAGCTGCATTTGACTTCTGCAATTACAAGAGATGCTCGATGTGACTTGCATCCACCTTTCATGATTGGTATATCTCCTTTCTGAAAATGTGTATGCGTTGTTGGAGCACCATCTCTACAATCTGCCAAACATTTTCTTTCTCTTTCTCTCTTTTTTTTTCTTTGACTCCTGCTTTTATATCAGATCATTTCCTTACGACTAGTTCTATTATAGTTGATGCGGATTCTAATTTGGTTGTCAGTTTCCATCACCATAGGCACACAATGCACCTGTCTGTGCAGTCCAGCCCAGCCCACACAGACCCTTCCGGTTTATACCTCAAATGCCAACCTGCCAGTTGGGCCTTAGCACACTCCACCTTCGGGTCTCATTTCTGAGCTGGAACTCTGGGCCCTGCAACTTCAGCCTCCATAGCAGCCTTCATCCTTGCTGAGATGACACTTACCTTCCCTGGCTTTGTCACCACCCACCTCAACCTGCTCAGCAACAGCCCCCGCAGTGGACTCACACACTCCAGCCTTAGGTCTGGGGAAACCCTATCTGCTCCAGAGATGGGACTAACTCACTTGAGGTTCCACCAGACCTTGCCTCATGCAAGGACTGTTCCTACTCTGATCCTGTCTGTTTCTCTTCACCCAGGCTCTGTGGCTCTCCTAGGTCTCAGGCTGGATTATCACTTTCTTTGGAGGTTACAGTGGCTTCTCAAATGTGGTCCGACAGACAAGTGAACACTTTGGCCCCATACAGGGATCCCATCTCCTCTCCCATCCCCCAGTTTTCACAATTTGATGCCTCCTATTGCATAAAAGAAAACTGCCCAAGCTCACACAGCTGGAAGAGTATAGTGATGGAAAACTCCAGAGTTACTATTGGGTTTCCAGAATGTCGTAAATGGTTTGATTTTTGTTTTTTCAGGCTGAGATGCTAGTGGGCTCTCCATCCCTAGTGGATGACCTCCATGTGGATGCAGCCATCTTTTCTGCTCTGCTCTAGAGTTGTCCAGTGTAACCGATCTTCCCACAGACAGAGCCACAGTCTACTACGTAGGACAGTCCAAACACAGAGGACAAAATGCCTGTGATCCCACAGTCCTGTGCCACCAACTAGGCCCACCTCCGAGGCCTCCATCCGTACAACCAGAGGACAACATCAAACCCAGATGAAGCCAGTAAGGTTGGCTTGTTAGCCATTTGTTACAAGCTGCCTAACCTTTTAGGTGACTAACTGTTCTCATCTGTAAAAGGGGGAAATAGTAATTCAACTAGCTGTTAAAATGGGAAGCGTTAACACACACAAGGGGTTTGGCAGAGGCGCACAGTACACACCCAGGGACCGCCCAGGGATCGCCAGCCAGCCTTCCTTGGGAGTGAGAAGGCAGCAGAGGGCCCCCCAGACAGAGCAGCCCCTGATGACGACGTTCCCAGGGCACCTCCCAGGGCCTCCGCACTTTATTTCAACCATCAGGGGTTTCTACGGAAAGCAAATAGAAATATCTCCTATGGCATTTTACCTAACTAAGTTTTCGCCTCAACACTAGAAGACTTTTAAATTTAAAAATCATACACCACATTTATTTGGACATTTTATTTTTTTATTGCAAATTTCTGGTAAAGAAAAGAACATGGAAGCTGATTCTCATTTAAACTTTGGTAGTTTGGTGAGCAGAGTACTGCGCTGTGGCTGCCGGCTCCCACCTTGGCTGCACACTGAAACACCCAGGGCCTCGGATAGGACTGCTGCCTGCCACCTGCTACCCCGATGTTCTGACTTAAGGGGTCTGGGGGGCAGATGGGCACTGATAGTTATCTTATCTCCTCCAGGTGATTCCCATGTGTGGCCAAGGTGGAGAACCCCTGTGGTGGCTCATTGCCTGGGGCTGGCATTGTCAGAAGCACCTGAGAAAGTCCAGCAGTCACCTGCTCACATTGTCACCTGCTTCCCCCAGCCGGAGGCAGGCTGACATCCCGGCCCTCCCTTCCCAGGTGTCAGATGGGCTGATTCTTCTGGCTCTCTGTGCCGTGGCTTTGTGCTTAAATGTGAAGAACTTCACAGGTTGCTCTATTGCAAAAAGAAATTCGCTTTCTGATTGCAAAAGAGTATTCCCCTCTCTTTTCTTTGTTAAGGGGAGATTTGCGACAAAATAAAAAAAATGCGTTGGATGACAGATTGCTTATTGAATCTCTCATGTTTAAAAAAAAATGTTTGACAAACCATGGAGAGTAAAATAGGATGGACTTTAGCAGCATAGTTGATGTGGGCAAACAGTAATAGCCAGTTCGATGTTTCATTTATGATTTATTCTAAAAATAGAAAATGCTTTTATTTTCCTGAGTCCTTGACAAACAAAAGAAAAAGATTTTATTTTATTTTTAAAGTATTCCTGTTTGTTCTTTTTCCTGGGACACCCTCACAGTTTAGAACGGTGTGTCTCACTATCGGTTTTCACATACACAAGTGAACAACACAGCACGAGTGCCAACTGTCAATGACTAATCAAATATGGCGATTGAAAATAAAACACCCATCATCTACAAAGTTGCTCAGGAGGAAGGTTTCTTGACAGTGTTATCAATGCAATAGTAACTTGATTCTTTGTCCATACAAAAGTATGAATTTCTATTCCACCAGTAAGACTGAATGATTAATGCCTGAACAGCGATAAAATTTTTAGAACATTTAAAAAATACAGAGGATCCCGTTTTTACACCATAATTCTCACGAGTTATCACGCCTTCTATGCTGTCTTCAAATCTCGGATCGGGTACAGTGCGTTGACAAGATAAAACCAAGGCACAAGAGTACAGCTACAAGAAGTGTATATAAACTCTAGCACTTTGTGCCAATGCTGGAAACATTTAGAGAGATCAGAAAAGTCTGAAAAATTATCACATTCTATTATGATCAACGATATGAACAATTAATTGTGCTGCAGTAAACAGACTATTAACCACCAATCCATTATTAAATATATGGCTATCACTATACAGGTTGCAGATAATTCAAAAGTAGTTTTAAATATTAAAATCAGTATCTCAAGGTGGCTGATATAGATATTGTGCCTTTCCATTTGATTTTTTAATCTATATGGCAGTTATCAATGTTTAAGTTATTTTCATTACATAAATCGTGGGGTTTCTTCCAAGTGTGAAATCCTTTCCCCTTACAAAAGACAGAAAGTTTACAGGAAGATAACCAATATAAGAAATGCATAGACGACAATAATAAAATCCAAATGTGGACTCAAAGGTTGAATTCTAATCTGTCAGGACATTCTCTTCATCTAGGGTGAGGAGCGACACATTCCTGGGACAACTCATTAGTTTCTTAATTCAAAATCACCATGGCATTTTTCAAAATCCTAAACCGTCTTGGCTAGAGCATCAAGCATTGAAGCGAAATTGTTAAGTCTTTTCATTCATAAAATGAAAGAGAAAAAAAGCCTTTCGAAATCCATGGGGGATAATTCCATTGAATTTAGAAAAGTGAAATAAAGTGGTCAAAATTGTACTGAGTACTTTTGAAGAAAGAGTGTTTTCAAGACTTAAGGTAAACATTTAGACCCATGAAAACACATTTCTTGGCACATGCACGCCATGGATGGAACAATCCTGGATGCAGCAATGGCCTGGCTACACAGGGATTGCGCTCCAAGCCCCACTGGCAAAACCTTCTTTTAGGTCCTCATTCCCCTTCACACAGGAGCCTCCGGCTTCTGCATTTGTTGGATTTGCTTCTGTAGCTGGTCCTTGTCCAGCTTCATCTTGGCTTCCAGCACTTGCCTGAGGGATCCTATGCTCTCATAGATGGCTGTAAACCCTTTAAGAAGACGGAAATTTCACAAGAGTCAATATTTTGAAAAACAATGCTGTGTCAAACTCTATAGCACATAGTAATAGTTGATTCTGGCAAAAATTATTAATAGATGCTAAAACCCTTGGGGTAGAAGTTTGATGGGAAACAAGTAAGTTCTGTATGTCCCTGGAGATGAATTTTTAATTAGAAAGAGGGAAAAGGAACCATTATAATGGAGAAATCTGGCATAGACCACTTTAACCGAGTGCTCAAAGGTAGCACCACTATGCTGGGAAAAACCAACACTGTACCTCCTGGTTAGACACGCTGGGGGCGGGGGACACAATATCACTTCTGTGGCATTTCCGTCCAACCTGACTCCTACAAAGAGAAAGCAAATAAACCCAAACTGAAGGGCAGTCTACAAAAGTCAGGATGACAGAGGAATTGATCCAAATTAAAAGAGACTAAATAAAGAAACACGGTAACTGGGCGGTGCCTGTGGCTCAAAGGAGTAGGGCGCCAGTCCCATATGCCGGAGGTGGCGGGTTCAAACCCAGCCCTGGCCAAAAACTGCAAAAAGAAAAAAAGAAAAGAAAAGAAACACGGTAACGATGATATGTGATTCCGGATTAGATCTTCCATGGCATCATTAAACATCAGGGAAACACAAATCAAAGCCACAGTGAGACATTGCCTCTTCGTATGGCTTTTTTAACAAAAAGAGGAAAGATAACAAGTGTTGGTAAGGGTATGAAGAAAAAGGAGCCCTGTACACTGTTGGGAATGCAGAATGGTGCAGCCATTGTGGAGAGCAGCGCGGGGGTTCCTGGAGAGATTATTAATAGAACTATCATAGGACCTAGCAATCCCACTACGGGGTACATCCCCAAAGGAGATGAAATCACCACCTTGTAAAGACGTCCGCACTCCCATGTCCACTGCAGCATCACTTACAATAGCCAAGATGTGAACAAAACCAAAGGGTCCATCAACAGAGGAATGGATAAAGAAATTAGGGTGCACATACAGAATGAGTATTATGCAGCCTGACAAAAGAAGATCTGCCATTTGTCACAACACAGACGAGCCTGGAGAACATTATGCCAATAAGCCAGACACAGAAAGAACAATACTGCGTGATCTCATATGTGGAATCTAAGAAAAAAAGAGAAAAGAAAGCCCAATATACAAAAATAGAGGATAAAAAGGGGATTACCAGGGATGGGGGGGAGGGGAAGAAGTGGGAGATGTAGGTCAAAGGATAAATATTGAATATACGTAGGATGAATAGTCTACAACGTTGCATTGTAAAAAGAACAGATTTTAGGTGCTCTTTGCACACACCCACAAAAACAGGGTAACCGTGTTAAGATTACGGATGTGTTAATTTGCTTGAATATAGTAGCCATTTCACTATGTATATCAAACATCTTATATATGTATATCAAAATATCTTTCTGTATACCTTGAACATGTACAATAGAAATTTTTAGTTTGAAAAACGTGTGGTTAGAGAAAAAATAGAACCTGGACTGGAGAAGATTTGCTATAAAGGGAACGATGGCAAAAGCTGAGAACTGAATGTGAAAAAACACTTCATTGAGGTACGCTGTACGTGGTAGGTATTTAAGGGACTGTCTTTGTCCTTAGGGAATATACACTGAAATAATTTAAAGAGGTAAAAAGGCATCATGACTTTTGTGACTTATAAATGATTCAGGAAAAAACTGTATTTGTATATACATACAAGTATTAAGCATATTTCTAAAATATTAACAGTTGGTGAGTCTAGGATATATAGAGATCTTGAACTATTCTCACAGTTCTTCTAAATTGGAAATTATTTCAAAATGAAAAGTTAAAAAAAAAATCTCTATCAAAAAGGAGTTCAGGGCAGGCATAGGGCTCACACCTATAATCCCAGCATTTTGGGAAGCTGAAATGGGAGATCACTTGAAGCCAGAAGTGCCCAAGATCAGCCTGGGCAACACAGCAAGACCCCATCTCTAAAAACATTAAAAAAAATTAACTTGTGGGTGGCACCTGTGGCTCAGTGACTAGGGAGCTGGCCCCATATACCAAGGGTGGTGGGTTCAAACCTGGCCCTGGCCAAACTGCAACAAAAAATAGCTGGGCATTGTGGTGGGCACCTGTAGTGTCAACTACTTGGGAGGCTGAGGCAAGAGAATTGCCTAAGCCCAAGAGCTGGAGGTTGCTGTGAGCTGTAACACCACAGCACTCTACCAAACGGAACAAAGTGAGACTCTGTCTCTAAAAAAAAAAAAAAAAAATTAACTTGCACCTGTAGTCCCAGCTATTTGGGAGGATGAGGTGGGAGGATCTCTTGAGCCCAGGAGTTTGAGACTGCAGTGAGCTACGATTGCACCACTGCACTCCAGCCAAGGGAACAGAGTGAGATTCTTTTGCTAAAAAATAAAAAATAAAAAAGAGTTCTAAAATAATAAAAAGGAGTTTTAAAAAGGACCTCAGGCTCGGCGCCTGTGGCTCAAGTGGCTAAGGCGCCAGCCACATACACCTAAGGTGGCAGGTTCGAATCTAGCCTGAACCCGCCAAACAACAATGATGGCTGCAACTGCGAAAAAAAAAAAAACAGCCAGGCATTGTAGTGGGCACCTGTGGTCCCAGCAACTTGGGAGCCGGAGGCAGGAGACTCACTTGAGCCCAGGAGTTGGAGGTTGCTGTGAGCTATGCCACAGCACTCTACCCAGGGGGACAGCTTGAGGCTCTGTCTCAAAAAAAAAAAAAAAAAGTAGTTCATATTATTCTCTATTCCCATTGGTTTTTAAATTAAACATTTAATAGGAAATTCTTATCTTCCTTAGTAAATTTAGAATTTTCTCTCAAAAAATTTTCATTATGGGACAATTCATGAAAAAATATACACATTATTCATTGAAAATAATGTTCTTACTGACACAGACAGATACAACATAATGCTAAATAAAAATAGTAATTTACAAATCAACATGTAGAGTATGAACTTTTATTTGAAAAAGCACATAAATACCCTACATGTATAGAAATATACACATAAAAGGGACCTCTGGAGTGAGAGAAGTTGTATTTTAAAAAACATTTTATGCTTTATGATTTTCCATTAAGAAATACATCATTTGGCTCAGCGCCCATAGCACAGTGGTTATGGTGCCAGCCACATACACTGAGGGTGGCAGGTTCTAACCCAGCCCGGGCCAGCTAAACAACAATAACAACTGCAACAAAAAACAGCTGGTGTTGTGGTGGGCGCCTACAATCCCAGCTACGTGGGAGGCTGAGACAAGAGAATTGCTTAAGCCCAAGAGTTGGAGGTTGCTGTGAGCTGTGACGCCAAGGCGCTCTACCAAGGGTGACATAGTAACACTCCATCTCAAAAAAAAAGAAATATATCATTTTTGGATGGGGTCTTAGTGTGGGACACACCTTTCGGGGGCAAGACACAATTGTAAGAGGGACTTTACCTAACATATGCAATCCGTGTAACCTGGTTTCTTGTACCCTCAATGAATCTCCAACAGTAAAAAAATATATACACCAGCCCCATATACGGAGGGTGGTGGGTTTGAACCCAGCCCCAAACTGCAACAAAAAATAGCTGGGCATTGTGGTGGGCGCCTGTGGTCCCAGCTACTCGGAAGGCTGAAGCAAGAGAATCGCCTAGGCCCAAGAGCTGGAGGTTGCTGTGAGCTGTGACGCCACAGCACTCAACTGAGGGCGACAAAGTGAGACTGTCTCTAAAAATAATAATAATAAAAAAATATATATATATATAGTTTTTATAAATTAAAAATAGTTTTAATTTTAATTTTCAAAAGGCTCATATGCATTTCTCATTAGATACTAAATATTAACAACCCCAATGGTATATTAAATAGATAACAAATTCATTCAGGAAATGATGCAAAGTTAAACATCAAAATATTCAAATACCATATTCTCATAGTCCAAAAGATGAGAAAGAAAACCCATTTTTATCTTTACAAGTTCTCCAATGCATAAATTGTAGCTTCTCTCAAATAAATAAACTTCTGGTAGTAAAGACAAAATTATTTGGGTGGTAACTAGTTACTTTTATTTCCATGTGGCCATAACAGAAAAATTCCACAGAAGAAAATTTATGGAATCATATATGGTAGAACCTCTGTAAATTGACCACTCAAGGGACTGTAACAAATTGGTCAACATACAGAGGTGGTCAATACCATGAATGAGCCCTCCTGTGCTGATACTTACACATGGTGCATGTCTGGTTTATGAAAATTAAGTCACCTTAAGGAAGTGGTCAGTGTAGGGAGTGATCAAAGATAAGAGGTTTTACTGTGATTGTAAGGAGCTAGGAAATAAATTAGTCCTATTTTTCACACCACGAGACTGTTTCCTCCTTACTGACCCCAATCAACCAGCCCCCACTTGAAAACTTTCAGTAACCAAGAATATTCAAGCTCACAAAGCTACCAGCATCTTATAGAAACCATAAGATACTTGTGCCTCATACTGAATTAAAATCTAACTTCCATGTCTTGGCCCCAGTTCTGTAATCCTGAGCTCAGAGTAAATCTAATCCCTCCTTTAAGTGACAGTCCTCAGAACTTCAAATCGGCTCTAATGTTTGCCTCTAAACAAGTGTGAATGGATGGGCCTTGTTGACTTCTGAGGACGGGAAATCATTCATTGCCAGGGTGGTATGTACACAGTTAAGAGTATAAAATGAGCCCTCAAAAGGCCCTGGAAGGAACGTACTTACTTCTGAGACATGCTGACCTTGGCTATGAACAGAAAAGAATCTGCAGATGGCACTAAAGAAAACGGACTTCGGTTGCAAGCAGGGCAATTTTCATTTTGTTTGCCTGTCCCTTGTGGTGGCTCTTGACATTCACTCAGCATTTCAGTTCAAGACAGCCCAGGTACTTAGAGAATCAACCAAGGACATTTTCACCTACCATTAGCCATGCTCATAGGCAGTTGCAGGGGGACACTAATTACCAGGCTTTCAGATCAGATAGAAAATGCACCATGTGAGCTGTTTGGTTTTGGCCTACCCGCATTAATTTCTGCTTTCATTTCCTTTAAGTTCTGGTTCATCTGCAACTCCAGCTTGGTGATCCGCCCGTGTATCTTCTCCTCGTCTTGCTTTGTTCTCTGTCCATCACTCGTCCTCTTTTGACCCTCTTCTATTTTGTCAAGCCTGGCTGACATCTGGCCGAGCTTCTTCTCCATGTCCCTTTCATTGGCTCCCTGGGATCCATGATAACAATTGGACTTGATTACTCCAAAAAGAAACTCTGCCCCATATTTGTATCAGCCATAACATCATTTAACAACCGTCTGCAAGGAACAGAATGGCAGTGGCCCTTGTTGACCCACCCACTATCTATTCTCCATTTCTTCCTTCACAGATGCCCAATTTTCAGCTGGGTACAAGCTCATCCAGAATGAAGACAACACTCGCCACTGTCTCCTGAGTTTGGTGGGGCCATGTGATTGAGTTCTAGCCAAGGAGAGGGAAGCACAGGTGTGTGTGGCTTCCAGGAAAAGTTAAAAGCTGGCTAATATCCTACTCCTTCCTTCTTCCTTTTGTTTCTGGAATTCAGGCATAATGGCTGGAGTCCTAGCAGCCATTTGAGTTATGAGGAGGTGGGTCACTGTCTAGGATTGGCAGAAAATTAAACTAGAAGGACCCTGGGTGACTGAGGACTGACAAGCCATCATATCCGTCCTGTGTTGCCTATATCTAGAATTAATTTTATGTGAAATAAAAATAAGCTTCTATGTTATTAAAGACACTGTTTCTCTAGGGTTGACTGTTAGTTATTAAACCAATCCACGTATAAAATGGATGATCCCAAGACCCAGAATTATGAGTACAAATGTATTAATATGAATCTAAGTAAATCAGATCTGGCGAAAACATGGGGAAATACGAAGAGAAAATATTTGAAATCTGAAAATATTTGGAATGTTAAATATTTTCTTCCCTTTCCTTTTTACCGTGCTTGGTTTTTATGGGATTCTGTGCATGCAGGTGAGCCTGAGAGGCCAGGACTTCAATCGGCTCGCTGTAAATGGACTATGGTGTGACCCAGCTCTCCTGATGGCACTCAGGGCACCACGTGCACCTCCACAGCCCACAGCTGGAGAGGGGGGAGTCAGAGATACAAACTACACCTGCCACTTCAGCTTCAATCGTCAAAGTCCAACAAGAGGAAACAGGGCAAGAAAAGAGAAGGGAAGGGGAAATGGTCACCCTAAATAACCAAACCCCACAAAATCTGCTTGCCAAGTACTGGTTTGAGCAGCTACTGACTCTGAAGGCTAAATAAGAAAGCCTTGCTTGATATGGTTTCTGAACCGTTCTGCCAAGCTTAACTCTGTGGCAGACTGGGGCAAAAGGAGAAGGAAGGGGAAAAGGAAATGAGTGGACGCCGTTGACATGTTGCCCTCTGCGACTGCACACGGCAGTGACGGTGGGAGGGAGGAATCTGTTCAACACCAGAGGAAGGTAACACCAGATCAAACTGGGAAGAAGTCGGTAACTGTTAGTGCTGTTTGTTTAATCGAAATGGTCCCCAGACTTAAATAACTGTTAGTTTTACTTAGAAATGAACAGTAACAGGCCGGGCACAGTGGCTCACACCTATAATCCTAGCACTCTGGG